CAGTCGATTTACAGCGTCAGCTGCGCACAATAGTCATGTTTTCTTGTTAAAGACATCTCGTCTTTCTGATTTTCTCCTCGTCCCCTATTTGATCTTTAATGGCCTTCTGGATAATGAAGCCATTAATTTTGTCAAACGAGGTGGACGTGTCAACAGTCCGAAAGTGAATTACAATGGTATTCTCTGGTTTAATTTCAATAGTTCGTCTTTGTGGGTCGTTTCTGTCCGTGGTCGATTCCTGGTCTTTGTCTGTCAGTGGTCTTGGCAGTCTTAGGTCATTTTGTTTCATCTCCCGCCTCTGCTTGTCCCTACCTGAACAAGTAGAGGGGGGCTTGTTGTGGCCCTCTCCAGGGGGCATGGTTGGGGTGCCTAGGAACCACCCCTTAGGTACAGATTTGTATTTCCATTTTTACATGTATATATGGTGTACTAAGGTTATTGAAGGCCCTTTAGTAAAAAAAAACTCTTTCCTAAGGGCTGCCCCCGCACAGTGGTGTGTCTACACTATCACGGACGTCAATGCTGGATTGGCCCAGGTTTTCCCCGACCCCCACTGGATACACACAATCCCACAGTGTGAGGTGTGCACCACTGGGGGGGGGGGGGCTCTAGCACGAATACTGAAGTATTAAAAATCAGCAGGTGCCTCGGCAAGGGTAAGTGATGGAAAAATAAAGGTGAAAAGAGATAGCCCTCCTACCACGTCAGGAAGGACAGTAGATAGCACTTCCTCCGCAGGTGTGTGAGTTACTCATACGATCTGTGGGGTGAGAAGGCTAACTTCGTAAGTCCTGTGCGTTCGTGAGGTGTTAAAGTTCCAAATATATGGAAGGTGAGCTGTGTCACGTTTATATAATTGCTGTATCACAGCGTTTCGGGGAGTGGTTGGGTTGCAACGTCTGGTTAGGTATCGCCGGGTATCGGTGCAGGCGCACGCGATTCCGGGAAGGTAGTGATGTCTGGGGCGCGCACTGTTTGAACGGTGGAGTGTTTAACGGTATGCCCTTGCGGGTCAGTCGGGAGACGACAGCTGAGCAGTGAGGTGAGAAGACGCATGTCGCAGTTACTCCCGACCCACGTGCTTCCACTTGCTCACGTCGGCGACTGGCTAGACTTACTGTCGCCACACACGCCACTCCCACTTTGACGTGGATATCTCGTCTCTGTTGAATTGACTTGCGTATTTCTCTGTGTTTTATGCTCGCATTTCTTAGTGCCCTCACCGATTCTCCCAGTATTAACGAACCCTGCGGGAACTGTCGTTAGGATAGGCCACAAAGGGGCCCCTTAGAGGGGTGTGAGCTGGGCCGGTGAGTTTAGCTGATAGGGTAGAGTAGGCTCCTCCTTTTTTGGGGGTCCTGTTGCAAAACCAGAGCCACCAACCTACGACCCCCGTTGAGGGGGGGGGGGTTGGCTACGGCACTGGTCCTAGGACAACAAGGAACTAGGTAGGTGTAGTGAGCCTTCATTGTCAATTTATTGATTTAAGACGAGCGAGAGAGACGTAACCAATGGAACAAAAATGCCACAAGAGGCCTCGGAAGGAAAACAGCATCTCCCACATAGACAATATGTTCCCAACAATCCACCCCGTTACAGAACCACCCACCTTCGCGATTCCGACTGTGATGAAGTACAAGATTCCCAAAGAAACCGAATTCAACCATGCACACGAGGTAGTGGTAGCACTGGAACTAGAATACAAGAACATCAAGTTCAGTGTGAAGCCCAATCTAGTGGGAGACCTGATACTCTTCACCCAAGACCACAACACAGCCAAGATCCTCAGCGAGGTCACCAACCTCAACGGGAAGACGGTCAAGATAATACCATTAGACCCCGAGGAGAAAACAACCAGAATGGTCCTACTGCGATATCCTCTGGGACTACCTGTAGAAGTCATCATAAAACATCCAAAAGTGACCAAGGCAGAGCATTGTGTTACGAGTCAGGACAAAGCACAGACAAGGCACGTGCTAGTGTACATCAAGGGGACAGATCCAGAGGAGGTAGACCTAAGCAACTGGGGGACTTACAAGTTGCGTCCTTTTGTCCCAGAACCACTACGATGCTACAGATGTCAGAAATTTGGACATCACCAATCCAGATGCCACAAAAAAGTGAGATGTGGCATCTGCAGCCAAAGTCACAAGACAGAAATGTGTATTAAAAAACACAAGGAAGGAACCACCACGACAGCCAAGTGCCCAAATTGTGGAAAGAAACATCACTCTTGGAGCACATCATGTACAGAGAGGAGAGAGCGAATGAAAGTTGCAATGGCAAACATTCAACCACAAAACAAAACAGAAGCACCTCAGAGCACATTCGTGTGGGATCAACAGCAACAGAAAACAGTCACCCCAACACCTACTCCGCCCCAACTGTCAGAGGATTCCTTCCCTGCACTTCCTCCACCAGGCTACAGGACAAAATTGAAGACACCGGGACAAAATCAGTCCATGCAGGAAACCATGACAAATCATTGGACTCCACAACCGCAGCTCCAGAGCTGTATAGCAGTAAAAGCACAGAACACTCCAGTATTGGTGGGAAACACCATATTGCCTGGGACACTGCAACCCCCTCAGGCGATTACCCAACTGAACACACCCCAGCCTGCCAATCTACAAGCGGCATTCACATAAGAACAAATAAAACAGATGATCACCGTTATGATAGTGACTTTCTCTACTATAATAAAGAAACAAGATACCAGCACCGAAAATTTAATAAATGCAGTTATGACACAGCTCACAGAAAAGATGCAGGAAGACCAGACCCCAAAACTCCACAACTACAAGTGGAACAGACGACGCCCTTGAGTCAGATATCAGACAAGAAGAAGAACTTACCATCCGAGAGATCACTCAAAACCGTGAAACCTCTAGCCCCTCGCAACAGATCACGAGGAATAGAACAACAAGCACAGACCGTCAGCAAACACACGATCACAGGTAAGAGCGACAGCACCCTGAAGAGAGAAGAAAAAATTCCCGAAATACCTCCCAAAACAAGCGGAATTCCATCTCCTGCTCCTCCCTTAGACCAGGTGCCCAAGAAACAGCCACCATTCCTAACGGACGAGGAGGAGAGCGAGTCAACCATGAACGCTGAGAACAACTACAGCACCAGCGACAAGGAGATAATGATAGAATAGCTCCACCTCCTTGTCATCTCAAGATAACATAGTGGAATGTACAAGGCCTGTCCAACAAACGGTATACTGTACAAGCAGCAGCCATAGCTAAAAATATTGATGTGTTCATTCTGCAAGAAACCCTGATGTCCAAAGATGAACAATTCCGTTTGCCTGGATACCAACAGTACTCTGTACCAAAGGGGCCCAACTCCCATGGCAGCATGATTCTCGTCAGGGCGACCATCCCCAGTTCAGAAGTAGAACCAGTTCACTGTGGAGATGGAGTAGAGGCACAAGCTGTTCGGATACACCTGGCAAACGACAGTCTTGTAGTATACAATATCTATAAACCGCCACCCAAACGACTAGAAGCCGGTGAACTACTGACACAAGCAGCACAGGAACTTGTGATCATTGCTGGGGACTTCAATGCCCACCTTCCAACGTTCAATCCGACCACAACAATGAACCAGGATGGTCATCACTAGGGCCCGGATAGTTATGCACTAAAAAACCATGAAATATGCATGCAAATATGCACTAAAAAATGTCACTTATAAAGCCAAGAATGCAGGTTATACGGAAACAAAATAGTTAATATAAACTAATGTTAATGTTTATTAAGCAATATACGTAATGTATTTAACATATATATGTGAAAGTGCTTCAAAAAATATATATGAACATGTATTTACATTATAGACTGACATATTTTCAGACATTACAGATTGTGGTTGCATTTGATGATGACATGGTGGCGTAAGTTCTCAAAGTTAAAACCCCGCCTGTTGTCTGTCAGCATAGCTTTATATTCTGAGAACACCCTTTCTACATCACACGTGATGACTCATCACCTAGTGGAACTGCTGACACATGTTCCAGAAATAACGCTCAGTAATACTGGGACCAACACACATACTGGGAAGAACATTGGACCTCACATTCATCTCCACTGAGCTCGTTCCAGTAGCTCAGTGGGAGGTAGATGATGAACTGACCAGTGACCACTTTGTAACGACAACTACTTTGAGGGTCGAGCTACTCCCTCCTCCCCCACGTCCACCACCCAGATGTAATACCAAGAAAGCAAATTGGAAATTATATCAAGATGAACTCCAAAAATAGTATTCGAACTATGAACCAGCAGAAGATATTGACCAACTAAACCAGTACAAATTATATGATTTAAGAAGAAAACATCTCTCCCAATCAGCACAGGAGCGTTCACAATTCAACCGCACAGTGAAAAATTGGCACGAAGCCAGTGACGGCCATCGTGGACGCCATCTTTAATTGTGGGGAATTCCTCATGGATATTGTGCTAAGACCATAATTCTACATCATTCCTGAAAATTCGGGCCTTGGACGAATTAGTGCCATTTCAAATCTATTGCTCCTGGACTATTCACTACAAGCTTGTGACGTTTTACAGTCACGTGTCTTTTGAGCAACTTTAACCCTTATTTTGTTTAACTTTCTAACCTATTTTATTAGTAAATATGGTTACCACAGCGAAACTTAGCAAATTTTTTACTTGTTGAAGTGTCTTTTTATATAAAAGAAAGGTGACCGTCAAGTCGTCCACTGCAGGGTCTCAACTGCTTCTCTTACTTCTGGTAGTTCCTGTTATGTCTCTCTCCTGCAGGCACTATGTATTTTCCTCCATCAGACAATTCTTGGTATATCTCCTTAAGCCACGTATATTTTGATATATCTCCCTCAGCAAATCAGTTTTCCATGAATCTTCTAATTAGACAGTTTACTTTGTGTTTCTGTCCTAACGAGAAATGCACCTCGTGAGCTTCATGTTTCCAAATACATCAACTACTTCTTAGTCATAGGTTTATCTCTTCATCAGGCAGCTCCGTAAGCATCAGGATGAGCACCAACAAGTTTGACGACTTGCTAACCCAACTTGGCACCGGCAAGTGGAACCTGCTGTACTTCCTCGGCTCTGCCTATTGTAAGTAGCAGTTATCTCTTGGCAACTATCTCATAGAGCTTCGTCTCCATAATAAAACAACAAAAGGCTTACATTGTTTTAGGAACGTAAATTTTACACTTTTCTAGGAGAGGAGAGTGTGATTTACTTTTATCTCTCAACTATCTACTTCATTTAGGGAACATTCTGATATCTCTGAGTTTCCGAGTATGGACACTGGTGCAGATTGGAGGGTTCATAAAACATTAGTTCACGACTTATACAAATATGTACGTCAATAAATTATATATTTTTCCCAAAAATATAAGTTTCTCTCATAAAAACTCGACGTAATGTCATCTTCAGAATACTTCTTTATCAAATAATAGTATTTTCTGTAAGCAAGAGGTAATGTAAATTACAGAGTGAAAAGAATAAAGTCTTCAATTATGTGACTAAATGTGGTAATTGTTGACGTGTGCAGGGTGTCTGTGGATGCCGCCTCAGTTCATCAGTGGCATCTACCTGGCTCCAGCCGTCAACTACACCTGCCTCCCACCTGAGAACGAGAGTGTCGTCGAGATATCACAGTAAGATCTCCCTTTATACTGAGTACTCTTTCGTCATAGTGACTAACTTAAATATTTGTTATTGAGTACTGAATATTAGGTGTCTGGAGTGTCTCTGATACCCAAAATTACAAGTAAATTTGTAGTGTTATAATGATATTATTGTTATATGTGTTATTATATTCAGAATAATATTCAGATACATCACTTAAGAAATTAATAAATATTTCGATAATGTCACCAAAGGTTCTTTAGTATGTCGATAAGGTGACCAAGAAAACCTAACACTAAGTCCAACTACATGAATGGTTCACTATGATAAGAAACTAAAACTAGTAAATGATGAATTTTTACTATAAAAAATTGTGTTTATATAACTACAGTAGATTCAGGTACAAGAAAAGTTAACATAATTGACTTCATTTATCACGTTCTGTGTAATCCAACAGCAGAGTGGCTTTGTCGTCTAGACAATATTTAATTAGTGTTTTAGTAACTTCAGCTTGCTTAGAATCAAAACCAAGCCGGTGCCAATCAGGTAGTCTTGGGAAAATTATTTGATGGACGAAATTCAAAATGGCCATTGTAGCGACACAGTTTCCCCCATAGCTACACTCTAGGAGCACATAGGTGGCTGATTCTGGTGTTTCATATCAGTTTTCACGGTCATTGAGACCAGTGGTGCCTAGAAATAATTATTAGGGTGACCCTTCATGTCAGTATTCGAATTAAAAAAAATAACATTTGTATTTCAAAATGGCCACCATCGTGACACATTTCGTTTGAAATCCTTTTTCGCAAATCTTACTTGATTGATTTATGAGACAAAATGAAGAGATTCCAATATAATTATGTACTGTATGTTAATTTGTCTCTCCACGCCCCTGTGTATCATTTCGCACGACGTCACTCTGACGTCATAGGCCTGGTGGGAAACAGTCTGCCTCTGGCCTCCATAATAAGCCAGTAGTAAACGGCTCCAAAGAAATTGTATATGTGACTTTCATTTGCAATTCCCACATGGCGCAGTGAGTAGGATCTAGTGTGGGAAAGGCGTGGAAAACTTAGTGGAACAAGTGTAGTGATCGTTTACGTCGGCGACCCCACCACGCCCCCTCACCTCATCACCCAATGCAGGTACTCCCTTGCTCTGTCTGCCACCAGCCCAGTGCCCCTAACAGCACTGGATAGGATTGCTGAGTTGCTAGCGAGGCAGCAGTAGAACAGCAACGACTACAGGCTAGGGAGAAACTGCACCAGATTCAGCAGCAACAGCTGGACGCCGAGGAGCGCCGTCAGCGTCAACAAGGAGCAGCCGAGGAAGCCTCCTCAGCTGACCGCTGTGTTATTCAGGAATTACTGAGGCAAGTGCTAAGAGCGGGGTGAGACTAGTAGGTTCGTCCCTGGCCGAGGTGAGGCCTTCGCCGCTGAGGACGACCTGGTCTACCAGGAAGCACTGTCCCCGCTATACAACCTGCCGCCCGCCCGCCACACGCCTCGCACCATACAAACTCTCCCCCAGCGTTTCACTACGTGAATTCAAGGTATGGTGTGGTGCCAGAGCTGACTATGAACAACTATTGCACTTACGTAACCAGCCGGCGAGGACCCAGATACCATATTTTAGATCTTGCCTCACCCCTGAGATGCGAGCCACACTAGTATATGCTATCTGCGTGGCCGGACAGATGGCCGAAGGACATTTGGCCGACGGACGTTTCACCGACGGACATTTGGCCGAACGGACAATAGACCGAACGGACAAATGGCCGAACGGACAATAGACCGAACGGACAAATGGCCGAACGGACATTTGGCCGAATGGACATATGGCCTTTTTAATTGTTTTTTTCTTTCTTCTTTGCAATGTATTTTTCGCACATTTACTAAAGGATAAAAGATATTAATTGTAATGTAATTGCTTTATAAAAATTGCTTCAGTCTTGTGCTGAATATCTGGTAGACGTCGGAAACAATCAGCATTATTCGGAAACAATCAGCATTATTTTCCCCAATTTAGTTAGTGAATTACAAGGACTGAGAGAGGTTTATGTACATAGGGTGACCTTACAAAACATGAGGTCAGGTCAAAAACATGACATCTGCTAATCCGCACACCAACACCACCACAAACACAAAAGAAAGGGCGACGTAACTAGTCATGTTAAGTCATGTGAAGTTTTTAGCCACGCTCCAAACCAACCTAATGTTAGCCCTGCTTGCCTGGACTCTGACGCAGTCGCTCTTCAGAGGTTGTAAAGGTAAGCCGATATTTTTATTATTATTAATATTATTATTATTATTATTATTGTTATTATTATTATTATTATTATTATTATTATTATTATTATTTTTATTATTATTACTTTATTTAATATTTGTCTCTTTTAAGACCATGGAATTCATACCAACGACAAGAGGAGGAAGAAGGCTTTTGCTTGACGGCTACGCCTACATCGTTGATAAACGGAAAGACAATGTAATATATTGGTGATGTGAAAGCAAAGGAAGTTGTTGGGGACGATTAAAAACAGAAGACGTTATTCAAGGAGAAGCAAGTAATCACTCACATCCACCTGATGCCGGCCGTAACCTGTCCTTGAAAACAGTAAAGAAAATTAAAGAAAGAGCCAGACAGTCGGAGGAAGTGACATGGACTATTATACAAAACTGCACCAGTGAGTACCCACTTGATGCTGCAGGTGCTCTTCCTAAGAAAGAAACTCTGGCAAGAATGGTGCGCAGACAACGCATGGCACCAGACGGGGACTTTTTAACTGACGATTTACGGAAATCAAGTAGAGGAGAAGACTTTGTCATCCATGAAAGTGACAACCTGCTAATTATGTCAACACCTCGAAACTTACAGCTTCTTGCTTTCAAAGACCACTGGCCAACAACTTCCTTTGCGTTCACATCGCCAATATATTACATTGTCTTTCCGTTTATCAACGATGTAGGCGTAGCCGTCAAGCAAAAGCCTTCTTCCTCGTCTTGTCGTTGGTATGAATTCCATGGTCTTAAAATAAACAAATATTAAAAAAAAAATTGTATATCATGCAAATGTATCACATTGAAATTATGTTATCTTTTTATCCTTTGTTTTATAAAGCAAATACATTGCAATGAAGCATTTACATAACAATAAATAGCTTTTATCCTTTAGTAAATGTGCAAAAAATATATTGCAAAGAAGAAAGAAAAATTAAAAATAAATTAAAAAGGCCATATGTCCATTCGGCCATTTGTCCGTTCGGCCATTTGTCCGTTCGGTCTATTATCCGTTCGGCCATTTGTCCTTTCGGTCTATTGTCCGTTCGGCCAAATGTCCGTCGGCTCGTTGTCCGTTCGATCAAATGTCCGTCGGTGAAGCGTCCGTCGGCCATCTGTCCGGGAGCCGCTATCGGTGTGGAGGACGGCGACTATACATTGATGGTGGACCAGATTCTTGCCCACATCAAGGCACATCTCCAACGGCAGCGCAATGTAACCCTGAGGAGGGTCAAATTTAAGGAGAGACGACAACATGAAGGAGAGACATTCATCGACTTCAATGTCGCCCTCAAAAAGCTGGCATACGACTCTGAGCTGTGTAAAGCGTGCTTCGACGAGCGACTGGTAACATGCATAACGTCAGGAGTAGATCAGCAGGTCAGGAAATAGCTCCTAATCATAGACCTGCCACCAAAACACACCAACACAGTCACATTATGCCTCAGCGAAGAATCTGCCTGCAACACCAACGCCGACTTTGTACAGTAGGTAACACCGTAACGCTATAGACTCGTATAGAGGGTATAGAGGATGACGCACACCACCGCTCAGGCGGCCGTTCGTCCATTCGTGTTAGAACACAGACGGAACGTACTCAGCAGTGTAATAGCTGTGGTGCCCCGCCACACCCCCAAAGTCATGAGAAACAGTGCCTTGCATGGTGGAAGAAGTTCAACAGCTGCAGCATCACAAGCCACTTCAGACATTTCACGATCCTGCCTGTAGGACGAGCGACTTCTCGTCGACACCCGACCACCGAGCATTTTTCGAAGCGGTGAAGCAGGCTCTCTTGACGACCCCTGTTCTTGCACATTTCGACTCAACCCCACTGACGATACGCCCTCTTGCAGCTTGATGGTGAGAAATGGAGGCTGGCCCAGTGTGGCTCTTGCTTCCTAAGCGACACTGAGACGGGATATGCCACAGTGGAGGTTGAACTCGTCGCAGCAGTGTGGGTCATAAAGAACTGTCGCCTTTATTTACTTGGCTTACAACACTTCGACTTGATCATCGAAAATAAGCCTCTTGTGCGACAGCTGGACGCTGTCGAGAATCCCCCCCTCCAGCGTCTGGAGGAGAAGATAGCGCTGTACTCTTTCACAGCAGTTTGGCGTAAAAGTAAGGAGCATGCCGTCCTTGGCGCCCATCAAGGACCCCGCACTCTCCGATGCATCACATCCGCAGTTGCACCAGGACAAAAGTAGATGATCTCTCTTACCCTCATCATCTTTGTGACCCTGTGATCGAGGAGATACGTGAAGCTGCCTTGTAGGGTGACACGTATCGTCATCTGCACAGCATCGTTAGCGCTGGATTTCCCAGTAACAGGAAGCATGTGCCCGCAGCCCTGCATGACTACTGGAAGAGACGGGACAATCTAGCAATCGTCGAGGGCCTGGTTCTTCACATTCGATCTCTTAGATAGTTTATCTCTTTGTCAAATTTGAGGCTCAACAGGATGAGAACCATGACAAGACCCAAGGTGGGTGCGGGACATGTAGTCCTAAGAACGCTATATATACACGCCTTTCGATCATTAACAGACTATGTGACATCGGCTCTTAACACACTGTCTGAGAGGCAGTAGGAGAAATTGGAAGTTGTCCAGAATAACGCTATGTGAGTCATTATCAAGGCACCAATGCGGACAAAAATTGAAAACTTACACATGGAGACAGGTCTCACATCTGTCCAACAAAAGATGGAACGATTAACAGCGTGCTTTGCAACAAAACTGATCCAGGGCT